ACCAAATGCCTACTGAAAAAAAGGAGTTTATCTTATTTCAAATTGGAAGTACTTCCATGGCATTTCTTGGGTTCATTTTCAGAAAGTATTTACTTATGTGCAACAGCAGCAAAACCTGTGCAGTGTCACAGCATTTTCTAACACAGCGAGATATTAATTACACTCTTGAACCTCATAGTGTAACATTGATGCTATTACAATGGGAATAGTTCCTTCAACAAGGATGATTAAACACTTACTTCCTTTTTTCTGGATACCATTAGTTTGTGCTTGGATCACAAAAATCAATGCTGATCTTCAGCAGCATCACAGTATTCTATTGTATTAATCTCAGTCAACATATCCTTCATTTTATTATTGCCTGCATTCTTTAATTTAGTTCATTTCCCATCACACCACCAGCTCCCACCAAATTTCTAATGGTGGGTGTTATCACTTGAATTGCAGTTCTTCTATTTCACTATTTGTTTTGTTGGCAGGGAAAAAAATTTAAAAAAAGCCTCCAAGCAGCTGAGTGCCAGTAGTGCTGATGACTTGTGTTTTATTTATGTTTTGCACTGAGCGTGGTGAATGATAAAGTATGGCTGGGACACGACTGTGGGCAACACTCTAAGTGTTATAGTTGGAAACGTGCCAGAGTTGCATTGCTACCAATTTTTTACCATTACCTTTCTGGAAGAAGGGATTCAAAGTCTCATTTTATTCCCCTCTTTACCCCTGTCACCTTTGCAGTAAATGAATGTGAGATCTTTACCAGAGATGGAGCTGACAGGGTGAGCTGGGGCTCCCACGGCTTCCCTGGGACTGAGAGGAGTCAGGAGCATCCTTTGGGATAACAGAGCTTGCCCTGCAGCTGCAGCCTGTGCTGGGGTTGTGCTGACGCTGTCCTGGAGCTCAGCAGGAAACTTTGAGCTTGATCCTGAGGAAAAGGCAAAAAGCAGCAGTTGTTCCCTGCTCAGCTGTGTGGGACTCGTGTCCGAGGCTGTAATTAGAAGATATACCTGCTAATGAATTGGTGTAATCCCCTGCTGTGTTCACAGGCTGCTGGGGGATCTCTTTTCCTCTGTTTGCAGAGGCAGGTGACCTTGCTAAATACTTAGCAGTAAAAATGTATTTTCCCTTGGTTTCACATAAAGGTTTATGTGCATAAAGGTTTCACAGCCTTTCTGGCTCTGCCAGTGGAGCTCTTCTGTATTAATTGAAAATATTTACCCAGGTTTAGTTTTAGGGAAAGAAGGAAGTGAAAGGAATATACATGCACATGTTCCATATGTGTAATACACATTTAAATGAATCCACACACATATGGAATTCTGATTTCTTAATCACCATGCTAGCAATAAAAGAAATTTAATATTTAAGCAAGGAGTTATGTTTTCAATTATTTTTCAGTCACCAGACACTTTAAATATTGAATCTTTTCTACGCCCAACTAATTTATTCAATTGCAGTTAGGTAGATTGTAATTAATTTTTGATGAGACAAACTAATACTAATTTGAATATCTACTACACTATAATGTTTGCTTGCAGATGTGTTATTTAGCTTCTAGATACCTCTTTTTTGCCCTTGCTGAAGTTGCAAATGCTCATCAATGTTGCCACAAGGCCCAAGCTGCACCTTAAGCTCTATGGCACACAAATATAAGGATGAGTGTGCTGGGTCAGAGGAGGGTCCAGCCAGCTCCTGTCCTCACCTCGACAGGGATCAATAGTGGATGCCTGAAGACAAGAATTAAGAGCAGGGCAAAGGTGTACAGCAAGGCTTCCTGAGAGACAGAGAGTCTCCCAGACTTCATTGATTTGTGGCCTGGAAACATCCCAAGATAAAAATGGTATCTTCAAATTTAATATTTGAGCTTATTTGTTACATCTAAAGTATATAGTTATTTTGTATAATTCATGCTTTCCATCAGCAAAGGACTGAGATTCCTCCAAGGGAAATACTCTCTTTTTACTGGAAAAATGTCTTGCCTGCCTTTTCTGATTAATGAGAACATCCATATGCTGGCTTTTGTGAGTGGAAGACGGATCTGATACCACTTAACTGTGTTAACTGAATGTAAAAATCTGAAGTGGTGGGATAATGAAAGTAATTTGCAGTTTGTCGGCGTGTTCCCTCTGATCAAAGACAAGTGGGGGAGCACAGCAACTTAGAAACAGCCCAACAAAACTGTGGGATTTCTAGGACATGGGACATTATTTGCAAGTTCAGACTTGTTTTTGTTTCAGGTAAGGAACAGTGCCAGCTCCTATGGAAGGTGCAGGCTGAAATGGATGATTTTTGAGTCAGGGATCATGTGGATTTGGGTTGGAAAGGATCTTAAAGACCATCCAGTCCCACCTCCTGCCATGGAAAGGGACACTTGCCACTATCTCAGGTTGCTCCAAGCCCTGTCCAGCCTGGCCTTGGGCACTTCCAGGGATCCATGGGCAGCCACAGCTGCTCTGGGCACTCTGCTCTCACTCTGCAGCTCTGGGATGCTCCCAAGGCTCTGGGTCGAAGCCAGGGAGGTCCGAGCAGCATCTTGGCAGCTCTGTGATGGGCTCTCAGAGTCCGTGAGTGTGAGAGGGAAACCAGCTGGACACTGACCATCGGGTCAGGAGTGACCTACTGAATGTGAAGGGGTATTTCTGCAAAACTGCAGGTGTGGGCAATGTGAATGGCATACATTCTTTTTTTTTTTTTTAATTATATTTTTCTTCTTTTTTCCCTGTGTGGTTCTGAGCCAGCACAAATTATAGCTCTTGAGGGTTTCCATGCATTAATCTTTGGTAGCTTTTTACTCTGTTGCTGACCAGGATGGTCCCTGGCCTGGCTCCCTGCTTCTGTATTGTGTGATACACATCAGCAGAGTGTGGAAGAAGCACATTTCTTCCAGACTGGAGCATCTCCACTTTGCTGCTCACTGGAAACTTGGCCATTGATTTAATTTCATTAAGTTGCCCCATCCCAGTTATATCATGAGAGATGGGAATTGTGCTCACTCACTGCATTTTGTCATGAATAAAGTTGTTTTCATTTCCACATCCACACCTCCCATTACTTCTCCTCCTTCATATTGCTGCAAATTCATTGGCAAACTGTACTAACCAGGAACTTTCACAACCCCACCTTTCCCAGCCTGAGCCCAGGCCCCTGCACTCAGGTTGCAATGATGATCTTGTCCTGTTGCTGTTACTTCCCCAACTCAGCTGATGCTCTGGTTAATGCACAAAAATGTAGCACTGATTTTCTTTAGTGACTGTTCTGTGTTACAATTTACGAGTAGAAATGAAAAAGTTATTGTAGCTGTGGTCTCCAGAGATAAAATCCCTTAAAAGCAGTAGAATTAGGTCTTACTGCTGCCTGCAGATCAAACTAGTGCAGCATCAGCCATTCCTGTGCCCATAAGTCACTCAGCAGCCATCTCAGCTGGCAGTCTGATTTTTCATGGTTGGCCTGCAAGAGGACAGGAGCTGTGAAGGCCCATTTTTGTCCTTCATGTCTGAGTTCAAGAGAGGTAGGAATTCTGCAAATGTGTGCAATAATCACAGGCCTGAGGTCTGCCACCCTGACTCCTGTTGTGGGTGTCCTGTTATGGAGCCTTTAGGCGTGTATGTAACAAATGAGGTCCAGTAAAGTAATTAGTGCTAAATAAAGTAAATTTATTTGATTGTTCTGATCTGTGTGGCTGTGTGTGCTGTGTGGACTTCAACAAAAAAGAAAAAACCCATTATGTACATTTATATGTGTGTGTGTATATATATATATATATGTATATATATATATATATAAAAGGCACTATGATTCTAACTTCCAGTATGCAGTTTCATGTGCTGGTTGCTGGGATCTTCCTTCTTGCAAGCCCAAAACCTAATGTGTTTTCCAGATAGGTGTGACCTGTTCATGGGTTCAGGGTTTCTTGTGAAGGTGTAATGGGATTTTTTGGTACTTTGAGCTGCCACAGGCTTTCTCCTCTGAGAGAAACCTCTTGTATATCTCTGGTGTTTTTTTCTTTGCTTTTTATAAAATTTCTAGGCCAAGCTAGAGTATCTTTGTGGGTGCTTAGAAAAGCATCCCTGGGTGTGGTTTAAGGATGTGAGCTATGGATGTATCTGACACAGGGAGCTCAGATCCTGCTCTTTCCTCAGTCCTCACCTGTTCTGTGCTGCTGTGCCCAGTTTTGCTTCACAGGCTGTATTATGTGGGTGGGGGAAGGATGATCCTTTGAATGTTCCCCATCTGCCAGGGATTAGGGACGAGCATTTGCACATGTCAGTGCTGCCCTGAGGTTTGTGCTTGCTGGCAGTGCTCTGCTGGTGGTCACCTCCATCCCTGTCTCTCCCCTGGTGTCTGGTGAGGCCCCACGTCCCTGTTCAGTGTCAGGGTCTGACCTCTTGGAAACTCTGAGCACATCTAGCAGTGACAGTGGGCTAGAAAACGTGCTGATGCTGAGCCCGTGGTCCCAGAAACCCCCAGGACATTTACTGGTTTCTGACAATTGTGTTGGAGGCAGAACTTGGGGACCTGCGGCGTGCTGTGCTGGCAGTCATGACTTTCCATCTGCTGTGAGCTCCTAAGCTTTGAATTTCTTGAGTAAGAGCCGTTTTACCATGCAGAGTATTAAGACTGAGGTGATGTCTCTGCTTTTAATATGAAAGTCCTGTTATTCTTCAGAAATGCCATAATGAATTAAAATATTCCCTATGGAGAAGTGCATTACTTTTGTGTTATGATATGATATTGGACTGAAATAAAAAGCAGCCAGGCTGTCATTCATTTCCTGGTCTAGGGACACTATAAAAGTACTGTAAAGCAAGAATAGCTTTGCACCACAGTTCTTGAATTCAATGATTGCCCTCTGAAGGTGCCACACATGATGGATTGTCACAGACTCTCTGTCCTGCCTTGACATTTCATTCCTATCCAATGTTGTCTTGTGTTCTGCTCTGAATCTGCCAAACAACTGACCCTAGAATTTAATGCCACACCTTCTTCTCTTTTCTTTTTCTGAGCAGCATCTTCTGCAGCTGAAGCTCTGAAATACAGGAGGACTCTGCATCTTCCTCAGGGACACGGGCAAGGGAGAGCTGGAGCCTCTGGGGGGCTCGGGAAGGAATTGTGGTTGGTGGTTGCCTGAGGAACTCACCTTCACCCCAATGTTGCTCTGAAACGAGTCGTGTCCAGCAGTCAGGTTTGGTAAGGTATGTATTTTTTTTTCCTCTGCTCTTGTATTTTTGCTCTTTTCTGAATGTGGGGAAAACAGAGCATTAGCAGCCTTTGAGTTTATTGCTATATTCATGCCATGCTCATACTGTGTCTGTAAATAAGCTTTGCTCTCCCTGAATTTAGAAAGCGTTCACCAGGAGTGAAGTGTTTTTATTGTCTTGGGCTTGAGGGGGTGTCTGTTTATGTGAAGTTCTTTATTGAACCAAATGCTTGCTGATGGTTGTGTGTTGCTGCTGCTGCTGGATACTTGGTGATAGGAATCCACGTTTTGAAAATCCCACTTGTTGTGTCACTAATGACTGTAGTTCTGAGGGTCACAGATGGGGAAAAATAAAAGGAGATGAAGTAGCCCATTTGTAATTTAGCCTTGTGCTTTCCTTTGTATATTCCCACTGTTTGCAAAGGGTGGAAGTACCACTACTGATTTCCTGTATAATCATATTCCCTGTATTGTATTTATTGTGTAGCACTTACAATTCTTGAGTGTTCTCATACCCACACAAATGTTGCCCTGGCTGTGCTGGAAGTGTAGCAAGGCAATATGCAACCATTTTCTAACAAGAAACTGAAGGCCAGGATGTATTGTTGATGAAGATAGTGCTAGATGAGCTTTTATGGTAATATAGTCTCTGATTCTATGGGTTCTTTTACCTAGGTCAGGTTATTTCTGTGAAGGCAAAGTTTTCTGATTTAAAAAAAAAAAAAGCTTTAAAGCAGTGGTTCCCAGATCTCAGTAGAGTGGTATCAGATGATATTATCCTTTTTCATTTAGCACATGGGTATTGACTTCCTTTATATGACTGAACCAGCACTATAATCTTGTTGAGAAAAGTACAGCAGCAATATAACACCTGTGCTTGGTGTTAGTGGAGGAGCAGGGAAAAGAAGTCAAGGCTTTCTTAAAAGCCTCTAAAATAAACCACGATGCAGGTGAGTGTACATTAGTTCTCCTGCTTTTGATCTGGTTGCACTTGTCATGTTAGCTCTGGAAATTGTGGCTCAAACTCTTATGCTCCAGCAGAGCTCTGCCAGTGTCTGGCAATTGCAGGGAAAAGTTGGTTGGAATAGCTTAAATTGGGTGCTTAACTTTTAAATGTTGAGGGTCAAGAAAGGTCTGTTCCAACCTCAGCATGTGCTGTTAATTTGTACAGGAATTTCAAGCAAACAACACGGTTGCCAAGGCGAGGTTCCTGTCATTACAGCACAGCACAGCTCTGCTTGTCTGCCTGCTCTGGTTTCTGGAAGAAGAGCTTGTTAAACATTGCTCCTGCCTTTATTATCCTCTTCACTTCTGTTTATTTCCAAGCTACTGCTCTTGTGATTATAACACTTAAAAGGGAAGGTTGTAGGAGAGGTATTTCATAATCAAGAGAGCTTCTTGACTCTTGCAGAGAAAAATTTGGCACTGTTAGAATGTAAAAATCACAGCAGTTTTGTTTATTCCTTGTTTGTTTTTGAGATTTCTGTGTTGGAATATGTAAATCTTCCTTGCAGTGAGGGTGTGAGTTTTGCTGGGTACCCAGGGTGTGAGGATCTGCTCCAGAGAAGTTAGCTGCTGGTGTGACCGTGGAGCTGCTCCTGCCTTGGACAGGGGGGCAGTAAATGAGCTCTCCTGTCATTCCTGAGCCAATCCAACTCTCACTCTAAGGTCTGTACGATTGATTTGTGTGAAATTATTAAGGCATTAAACTCCAGGTTGGACTTCGATTATACTTTTGCATTTTGCTTTGTGACCGTCAGATCTAAAACTTGGTTCTTATTTAAATCTCACGCTTATGGAAACTTTGTCTGTAAGAAGAACATTGCAGGTTGAGAAGGTTGTGCTAAACTGTGAAGATTTGGCCAAACTGGTGTTCCTCACTTAAGTAGATTAGGCCTTTTTGTATTGATTCTCTTCATCTTGGGGACTCGTCATTAGCAGAGTACTTGACTTCCATCAACTTTATCTGTTCCCACACACCCTTGTAAGACAGGAGTGTTGCTTATCCCCATTTTGTAAATGGTGAATAANAGTCACTTTTAGGTCACCTTTAAGTGGCAAACATCTGTCCCTGGTTTTCAGGCAGTCTAAGTGTACAAGTTGCATCTGATGCGTGCAGCTGGAGGCACACAGCCCTGGCTGAGCACAAGATTTGGGTGTGGATCTTTCCGAGGCCACTGCTCCCACCTAATCCAGTTTCTTCCATGTGTCCTGCTAGAGTAGAGAGGGTTTGAATTAAGTGATTACAGTAACACTTAATGACAACGTTTCCCTCCCTATGTGTACTGAAAACTGAAACATCTGTTCAAATAATGTGAGCTGAATTCATTCATTTTTGCAGCAGAGTGCTCACGTGAGACGAGCAGATTCCCTTTTAGCAACGTTTATGAAATTGTGCTGATGGTAATCTTATTGTATGAGGAATTAGTTTAAATGGATCTGCAGATAATGTGCAGAGCAATAGTTTTTTTCTGAAATTGCTCATTTTTAGATTAGTAGAATCCGGTTAGTAAAATGCTCTGTTCGGCTGAAAAGGCACATTTAATAAATATGTAAGAGAAATTTTTAAGTAGCCATTAAACATAGTTAATAAATTTTATCTTGCAAGTAGAATTTGAAAAAAACCTGTTCATTTAATGTGTTTTATGGCTCTCGTAGCAATTAATTGTCTTCATTACATGAACATAAATCCTCAATGTAATTCACCTTTTTCAGATTAATTGCTATGGAAATTTTCCCACTGCTTTGTTTAGACTAGTAATATTATTTCTCTTTTCTAAAAGTTGAATCTCAACATCACATTTTTTACCTTTTCCAGATGTTCTGTGAATCAGTTCCAGTTTAAAAAAAATCTCTTTGTGCTCCAGGCCAGTGCAGGGGTGGTGTTGCAGCTGTGATGCTCTGATCAGGTGAAGCAGAGACTTCAAGCCCTGCTTGACCTGCAGCAGAGCAGTGGGCAGGTCTCCCTCTCTCATTCATTGTGTTATGTCTGATAAAAACTTAGTATTTCTTTCTTCAGATTTTTGTTGTTTCTTATACGATTTCATTTATTAAATCAGGGAAAAACCCTTTGATTTTATATGCCTATGGGTTTGGCTCTCACAGTAAGAGACCCTAATGCAACTTTTCAGTGTCTTTGCTGAGGGGTACAGGTGGCTATGTCTGAAAATTTATCAGTAAAATTGTCTTTCAACATTATTGAGGGAAAATTTTGGTTGGAGCATGACGAGATTGCTGCTTGGATTCCCAGAATTAAATTAAAAGCTGTATTTTGATTAAAGCCTTTATTCCCCTGGATTTGCACACCAAACAGGACAAGAGGACAGCATGCAGGATCGTGTTTTACATATGTTTGTTAATCAGTGAACAGGCTGTGCTTGTTTGCATGAGCAACATTTATGCAAATGTCTTCTAGTGTTCCTCTGGACTGGTTTGCCAGGGTGAGGAAATAAAACAGCTATCATATTTGCATGTTTTTGTTGCAAGATCAGCAGACTGGCTGTTAAGGTATTAATTCCCTTGGTGACACCACTTCTGCAGCCCCATTCACTCAGCTTCTCCTGACAGGGCTTTTATTGAATCCGTCAACCTGACACATATCAAAGCACAATTCCTGATAACAAATATCTTGTTGTAAAATGAATTAAAAAGGTGATAGCAGCGGCAGAACCGACTTGAATTTCTGAAAGAAAATAAGAAACTCCAAAACCAACATGAGATTCTTAAGATACCAATCACAGAACAGTAATATAATAGTCCTTTACCTGTTCTCCTGAAGTACTGAGAAGTCAGTGGGTCTGTCTGAAGTCATACAAATGGCCTTGCTCCTGGGCTGGCAGCTGTGGCTCTGCCTTCTGCCCTCTGATGTTTGTAGTGGTGCTTCAGAGATCCTGATGAAGTTGGAGTTTGTTTTCTTCTGGAGACCTTTCCCCTGGAAGGAGCAGCAGCTCCCTGTAATAACTCTGCACTCCAGCCATGCAGAGATCTGGAGACTGAGGAGAGGGAAACTCTGGCTCTGAGTGAAGCACATGTTCTTTCTCTCAGAAGACAAAGCAGTTTGGAGCCCCTTGACCTCTGCAGAGCTGCTGCTTGGCAGCCCATGGGCTGTGTGTTAGGCAGAGTCCAGCCAGGGTGGAAAAGGGCCTATGTTTCTTTGGGCTGCAGATGTTTTGAAATTAGCTGGCTCAAAACCTTTGTCTGAGAAGAGATTGTCTCCTTGCATCCTTCTCCTCTCTGTTTTGCTCTCTTCATCCTGCTTTTCTATTCCCTTTGGTTTTGCATCTCTCAGAGGACAAGCAGCTTCTGGCAGGGCTGCCTTTGCACTGGTACTGCTCTCACTCTGCCCAGGCTCTGCTTGCCTCAGATTTTTGGCTAGCATGTCCTGTAAAATATGAGCTAATAATAATCATGCTTTTTGCTCTGTGGCAGGCCTGCTTTCTGGATAAGTATCCACTGACAGTTTGCAGCCTAGCAGAGAGGAAGAGGAGGGCAGCCAACAGTTGATGTGGAAAATTAATTATGAACTGCCATCTTCCTGCCATGTAGCTAAGGCAGTTCTGCATTGCAAGCTTTACATCCAGCTGCGTGTCTCCTTCCTCAATAGTGGGAATGCTGCCAGAACAAAGCTTAGTGGGGAATGTCTCTCCTGGGACTGATCACTCAGGATGCTCTGGAGCCTTTACTGCTCTGCTTTCAGCTGTGACACCACCCAAGGAGTCATTTTTTACCTTTTGTTGGATGAATGTTTGGCTTAATTGTGCATCCAAGTTGATAAAGATTTGTGTTTGTGGTGGGGAAGTCACCCATGTCCCCTCTGCAGTCAGGGAACAACATTTTTGTGTTCCAGTGTAGTGGTGCCTTGGCAGCGTTCAGGATTAGAAGAGCTGCAGCTTTCTGTATTTTCATCCTTCAGGATGTCATATTTCCTTCATAATGATCCTCAAAAACTGCCCTTGTACATGGAAGGGGGGGGGAGTTTGACAGGCACCAGTCAGC